CATGTACTCTAAGATTCTCTACTATCATGGCGCGAGCCACACGGTTGCTCAAACCATCGCCTCCCCGGCTCTAGCGACCGTGTGGCTCTAGGAACCATTTTTCTCTATCCTGACAAAATGAACGTGAAGCCAGGAGATGTCACGATTTGTAGCTCCTCTGGTACTGTAGGACGAAGCTAAAAACCCCAAAGAGTCCACCCAAACGAGTCCTAAGTATAATCATTAAAATAGAGATTTTATTATTACTAATTAAAGACTATACATTAATACTTATGAGACATACCAGGAAAGTTATGACCATTTCACCCTTGAGCAATGCTTAGCGCCTTGAGGAGAATACTCATCGTATGGTATGTGTACTCGTCTCAAAAACAACATAAAGTAAAACTACTAAAGTCATATTTGGTTCTAAAGGGATTTTAAGAATATGATGTGTTTTATTTATTAGATTTTGTGTCTCTATGTCAGAGGCTACTAGAATCTAGCATGTTTGGATGAGATTCTAAGATGTTGAGATTTTGTTTATCCAGATTCTTAAAATCTCTTAGGATCCAAACGGGACTTAAATCTTCAACCAAAGTCTAACCTATGCAAAAGCACGGATCAGTGAATTAAGTAGAAACTAATTTTATCTTACCATTATAACCCGAGATTTTTTCCCAAAACATTTTACATATATATTAAAAAAATTAAGATCATGAAATCGTGATGTTAGGCTCCATTTGCCCGAGCTCTTTTGGGCTCTGGCTCCACGCTGTTGTGTGGAGGAGCCATAAATCGTGGCTACTCACGGTTCCACGTTCATTTTCGTGAGAAGAATAAAAACGGCTGATACGAACAGTGCTGCTATGGTAGGAGCAGGCAGAGCCGCGATAAGCTGCACCGGTAGCCTAATGCCCAAGCACGGGCATCAACAGTGCTTCTCATGGGGCACAACACAACACTACAACAGTGCCCAGCTAGCGGCCTAGCTGAGCTGCTTCTAGCCTCTAGCCTGCTAGTAGTACAGTGCTAGTGCGCAGCACCAGAGCAGCAGCTAGTGCTAGAGCTCAGGAAACAAGAAATATAAAAAAGCTCGCGACTGTGGTCTATGGTGGGTGGCGGGGCGGCGCAGGCTACGCGCAGCCAGGTACAGCAGGAAGATACCCACGCGGCCTTCGGCCGTCTGCCCGTCTGCCTGCCTGCCTGCCCCCTCTCTCTCTTTGACCCCCTGGTTCCTGCCGTGCGCGGTGCGCGGTGCGCCTCCCTGAACCTTGGCGCTGCCTCTGCACTTCTGCAGGCAGGCGGGGCGCGGTTTTATTGGGGCTGCAGCTGCAGCCCTGCAGAGCGCAGGCTTGCGCGGCCGGCAGGGCAAAGGCAAAAGGCGAAGCCAGCTTTTGGACCGGGCGGGACTCCGGGAGGACGCAGGACCGACTACGGGGCGTCGGAGCCAGGCACTCAAATTTGAGGTTCTCTCTTTCCCCCGTTTCCCTGCTTCTTGACGGTGGCGTACTGACATGACGGGCATGGTAGTACAACGTACTCGTCTGTCTTAAATTATCCGTGGCTTTTGGTTTCGTGCTACAGATTTGATTTATAAAAAATATATAGTATAATATTTGTATGTTTAAATAAATTTATTAAAAAATAGATTTAAATATCTTTTTAATGATAATAATTATGTATCATAAATATTAATTTTTTTTAATTTATATTTTATTAAAGTTATTTCTTAGAAAAAAAAACGATAGATATTTTAGAACGGAGCGAGCACCTGACGGCCAGCACGGAGTCCATCCAAACGCTGGCCGTATGGGCGCAGTACACCAGTTTTCAAGATCGAAGCACGCGCATACGAAGGAGAGAAACGGATGGACTCTACGGACAGCTCCTTTCTTCCCTTATCACTGACGATGTTTTGGTAAGTAAGGTCTTTTTGTCTGGGTGTTTAAATCCAGAGATTAAAGTTTAGGGTGTATCATATTGGATGTCATATATGGTGTCACATGAGAGTGTTCGGATAGTAATAATAAAACAAATTACACAAGTCCTCAGTAATCCGTGAGACTAATTTATTAAGCCTAATTAATACGGCATTAGCGCATGTACTGTAGCACAACATTATCAAATCATGCATTAATTAGACTTAAAAAATCATCTCGTAAATTGGTTGTAATTTGTGCAATTAGTTATTTTTTTAGTCTATATTTAATACTCTATGCATGTGTCCAAACTTCCGATGCGATAGAGACTTAAGTTTAGGAGAGACAAACAAACAAGGCCTTAGTGTCGTGATTTTCTTCCTTTTTGTTATGACGAGTGTCACACATATAACCATCTAATTTAACACTCCGAGCCTGATTCTCTCTTACCTAGCCCCCTCGCCCTCGTCCCCATGCCTTGTCACGACCAATAGTCACTCGTACTCACCTTTTAATAGTATTTTTACCGTAAAACCTCAAGCACTAATGTTTACGCATCTCTCCTACGTTGTAGGAGCCTAAAAATGAGAAGACGGATTTAGGCTATAGTTAGCATGAATGACCAAGGGAAAAAAAATAAGGTCGGTCTCATGAGGTAGCTATAGTCATTTGCTCCAGATTTACAACACATTTGCCTATTAATCATTCAATGTATGTCATTTCTACATAAATTTATGAGTAATTATAAAGAAAAAACTACACATTTCTCATGTGTTTGGATGACACGTATGGACACGTGTCGTGAATCAACGACAGGTGCGCACAACGATTGTCTTCACTGAATTGTTTTCCGAGCACGGAAGTTTAATGGCATGGTGTTTAGGGTTTTTGTGTTCTCCAATGTCAAGCTTAGAAGAGGTTCAGTGGGTTAGGCTGATCTGACGGTGGCTACAAGGGGAACGGTAAGGCGAAGTACGTGCCATCAACCGCAGGAAGCGAAGACGGAAGGGCAGTGACCCTGATTCATCCGTTATAAAAAAAAAATTGATCCTAAGTCGTAGCCTAATGGGATTGAAACGACAGGCTAGCACAATTCTCTTTGCCATCCGCTGCATCTTTTGGTTGTAATTGTGGTAAAAAAAATTAACATTCAGATTGCATTAAGTTTGGAAAAACTAGAAATATGAATTGGGCTTAGTTTAGATGGTTTAGTTTTTTTTTATATAGTAGAACCGATCCACTCTTGTCTAAATCCTTGACTTGATACGGTGCTCGTATTTTTTCTCAATTTATTTCACGTAGCCATCAAAGCAAATAAAATGTTTGTGATCACTTTTGTCAATCTCGTATTTCAAAGAAAGCTCATAAGAGTAGTGTGTGTCTACAAAATACGTTCGTAGGGTGTGTGTATATATAAATGTGTAATGTGATTTGTTTTTTCTAACTAGGAATGTGAAATATGTAGAGATCCCTCGCTCAAATTTAGATTGTGAGATATCAAACCGTATCAGATGGTTGGGAGATGCATCGGTTTTGACTAGAACAGTTTTACTCCATCCTTTCCAAAATAAGTGATGTTTTGGATTTTGTCCTAAGTCAAACCATTTTAAGTTTAACCAAAATTATAGAAAACAATATCAATATTTATGACATCAAATGCGTAGAATATAAAATATATTTTATAATAAATCTAACAATACTTATTTATATCATGAGCATCAGTAGTTTTATGTATAAATTTGATTAAAGTTAAAAATATTTAACTTAAAACAATCCCAAAACATCATCACTTATTTTAGAGGACGGAAGGAGTACTAGTTAAAAAGAGCGAACAACGGTTTTACTAGTTAAAAGAGAGATTAAAACTACGGTGGGCCGTTACAGTGTCATGCGATAGTCAAAGTTACAGCGTTGACCATGCAAAGATCAAACGGCCGTAGAGAACGCAGCTCTGCCTAGAGCATACAGTACCAACATCCATGTCACATCAGGTCATGTCGTCGCTCATGAGTTCATGGTTTTTTTTATTTTGTGAGAGCTTGTGGTCTCTTAAAATTTAACCTAGTTACTTAAAAAGGTATTGATATTTATACATGAAATGTACTTCCTCCCTAAAAAAAATGCAATTCCCAGAAGCCAAACAGTTTTAATTTTGATTAAAATTATATAAAAAAATACTAACACACTCATAAACAAGACAAAATGAGTATCATTAGATTAGTTATAAAGTATATTTTCATAATAAATTTATTTAGAGACATAAATATTAATAATATTTATTTATTATAAATTTGGTTAATGTTTAGCTAATTTTCTCTGGCACGTTTTTTCATAATTATATTTTTTTAATGGACGGATGGAGTACCCACCGTAAAAAAAATATATACTTTATGACAAATCTGATAGCAATTTTTCTATTATAAAAGTTCGACCGAAAACCGCAACTGACGCAATGGCCTAGATTCTTTGTGATTTCTACGTGTTCCAACCAAACAGTGCCTCGACAATATCAATGTTCTGCTAGCATCGCCCAAGGGCCAAGGCCCATACAGAAGAGAAGCACCAATCAGTGGCTCCAGAGAATGGGTTCATGCACCTAGCTGATGACCTGATAGCTATACCAAGGTATGAAAAGCTATAAAAGTTAGGCCAGCAACTATGGAGAAGACTGCTGTGCACATGACCGTGTTACTGATTGCCTGGTTTTAATTCTTTTCTTTGCAGAAATGAATGAAACGAAAGAACCATCAAATAGTCGAACGTTCAAATTACTCGAAAATTTTCACCGTCCCAGATCTGGTTAGATTTCAATCAATCACCGAAAAAGATAAAAAAAAAAAACGCAACATTTCAGCATAAGCACAGCCTAAGCCAAAATTTACAATAAACGAACAGAGTGGCAGCAGTGTGCGATCTTCTCGCAATGCAGATCAACGAGCAAAGAGAGAGTTAAACCCTAGGAGCAGCAGCTAAGGTCAATGTAGATGGAGCGCAGCCGGGTGCGCGCACCGTCATGTCACTAACCTGCTTACATGTAGCGAATGCAGTGGTAGACGCGTCCCGAGGCCGCCGATGATTGATCACTGGGCACGCGCGCGATCAGTACGGAGGCGGCGGCGGCGGCGGCCAAATCACGTCTTGCGGCTGCGGGTGGCAAGCGGCGTAGATGGGCACGGCCGGTGGGCCGCCGCACGGCTCCACAGGCTGCGCTGATGATGCCGAGGCAAGGTGCGGCGGGGCCTGGCGTCGTACGGCGAGAGGACGATGCTCTTGCGGCGGCGGCTGCTCCCCGGGGTGCTGGTGGCCGCCGCCTCGGTGGTGCTCGTCCGCTGGGGGGTCGCCGCTGCCGGCGGAGAGCGGGACGGAGACGGAGACGGACACGGACGCGTCGTCGTCCGCTGGGAGGCGGTGGAAGGTGGGGTTGGTGAAGGCGGCCGCGACGAGGACGACGGTGGACGCGGCGTACAGCGGGCCCACCACGGCGCCGCCGACGATCTGCCCGTGCAGCCCCGCCAGCGAGATGGAGAGGCACGCGGCGGCGGCGGCGGCCTGTGGCGCCACGGCGGACATGGCGGGGGGAAGGAACGTGGCGGAGATGGACAGGATCTCGTACTGCCCGTGGAACACGATGGCGGTCGTCGGGGCGCCAGCGCCACCGCCGCCACCGACGCCGCCGGGCATCGGGTGGCGGAGCGACACGTTGGCGACGGCGCCCGTGCCCGCGAGCACGCAGATCCCGAGGTTCCGCCGCGCCGCGAAGCGCGCGAGCGCGTCGGACACGTCGCAGCCGCAGGGGATCTCGATCACGTGGGGCCGCATCGCGGCGGCCGGCTCCGCCTCCCGCGTGATCACCACGGGCGGCTTCGGCTTGTTCTTGGACCCCGGGGGCCGGCCCCTCCGCTTCTTGGACAACTCGATGCTCGCCCCATCGCCGCCGCCACCCGACACCACCAGTGCCCCACCACCACCACTGGCGGGCTCCTTCTGCTCGGCGCTCCCGCGGCTATCCACCTCATCGGAGAAGCACTCCAGCTGCTGCTGCTGCTCACCGTGTCCTCCGTGCTGCTGCTGCTGGTGGCGGTGGTGGGATGGCGGCGGCGGCGGCGTGGTGAAGTGGACGGGCGGCACGTCCTTGCGATCTTGGTACAGGCGCTCCTGACTCATGTCTCTTTTGCCAAGCGACATGAGGAGCGCGCTTGGTCGCGAGAAAGAGAGACAGCACCTAGCAATCGAGTGGTACAAGCTTCAAAGATGAGAAGGGTAGCGAGAGAGATACTATCCAGAACACGGGCGGCGGCAAGGGGCGATGGCAGCTGCGAGTAATGTTTCGGCGACGGCGAGAGAGGTCTCTGGACTTCCGAAGGGGCGGGATAAGAAAGCAATGGGAGAGAAAGATGAGAAGGGCACAGTAGCAGGAACAGGAACAGGAACAGGAATAGGATGTGAAGCGTGATGAAGCCTAGAGGGAGGGTAGGCGGTGCCTGCTGCTGCCAGCGAGGTGATCCTTTTGTCATCTTGTCTTTACATGGTTGCCCTCTTTTTTCCTGAATCGGACTACCCAGCGGGCAGCGGCTGGCGAGGACGTGTTGGAATGTTGGTGGTGTTTCAGGGTAACGATTCGAATCACGGTCACATCTGTGTTTTTTTTTTGAAAGGGCACATTTGTGTTTGGTTTGGGGAGAAAATTAGACAGCATTTCACAGGAATTTTATAGAAATTTTACAGAAATAAGTTCATTCGCACAAAAAAAATGCAGGAAAGAAAAAATCCCACCAACCAAAAGGGGTCTTAAAATAGATAATTCACGACGACTGTTTGGTTAGATTTATATAATAAGCTTTTTTTATTTGATTTGATGGATGAAATGACAGTAGTAGACTAATTATATTTAATATTTCAACATAATAACAATTTTTTTTTGCGGGAACATAATAACAATTAACTATACACTAATATTAATTTTATCACGATACTTATTCTATTCTAAATTATAAGATGTTTTGGTTTTTTCCAGATATAATATAGTTTGGTTATGCACAATATAAAATATATCTATGTATAGATAAAACTGGAAAAAGCCAAAATATTTGGAGCATTTCTTTCGGGCGAAGTCTGCCTTCCGGGTGTCGCACATCGGAGCAGGTCCTGTTCGCTTCTCTTATAATTCGTATTTTTTAGCTTGATTTTTTAGCCGGAATAATATTTTTCTCTCACAATAAATTAGTCAAAACAGTGTTTCGGCTTTTTTTTCAGCGAAGCGAAGCCATACGAGGTTGCTCAGACGGTGACTCCCTTGACTAGCGGTGTCCCCCCCCAACCACACCACCACCACACACCGCTACAGGTGCTATCAACCTAAGTTGTTTGTTTAGCGAGTAATAGTTTCAGGGGCATGCGAGGCCGGTGAAAGCCCTACTTTGATTTTGGATAATTGATAAACCCTAGGACTAACTTTTGATATAAGTGTGTGAATTAAATGAGGTAGTCCAATCCAAGTGGTGGAGCTAGATGTTGGTCATGGTGAAGGTGATGGCCACAAAAGTGATGATCAAGTGCTCAACTTGGAAAAAAAGAAAGAGAAAAACAAAATCCTATGGACATCAAGGCAAAGGTATAAATAAGGGTTTTTGTTTCGGTGATCAAGACACTATAGAGAGTATGATCATGTTTATAGGATAGATGGCCATACTATTAAGAGGGTATCTCTATTAGACAATTCGGTCATCTAGTGCCAATAGATGTTGGACTTCATACATTGCATTTAGGCCTAGTGCGCAATCGGAGAGCAAGTGAAAATATTTATCAAAAATGTTTTTGAGAAATACTAACTTGGCTCTAACATGTTTTGAGAAAACACTTTGAGAGTTAGCATCGCTTACGGGGAGTTGCCTGAGTTGCCGTGGATCGAGTCGAGACAAAGTTTGCAACTTAGAGAGCAAGTGGTGGTGTCTGGGTGGCACCGCTGTCGACGAAATCTAGTCGGCAGTCTACCGAGGGGTATACCCACGGTAGGAGATGATCGGTGGGGGTGCGCGTGATCAAGAATCGGATGGTAACAGAGACACAAGACACAAGATTTATACAGGTTCAGGCCGTCAATATGACGTAAAACCCTACGTCCTGTGCTCTGTTATTTTGTATTGATTGTGTATCATATTCGATATATATCGTCTAGGGGACCCCCGCTCCTCCTTATATACTCTGGAGAGGTAGGATTACAAGAAAAATATCATATTTGGTATTATACAATAAATCTCATATTCATGTAGTCTTGCGGTGCACGCCTTGATCTTGTGGGCTGGGCCACCTTTGGGGCGCGGCCCATGTCTTGTCTTGTAGGTACCAGGGGTCATATCCCCCACAGCTAGTCCCCGAGCACCTTATATCCGCTTGGCGACGCCGTCTTGATCAAGTCCGAGCAGTTTAACATGAAGCCGATCAGTTTAACCGGTGATTCGAATGGTGGAAGTCAAAGCCGACCAGTTTAACTAGTGAACTGAGCGGTGAAAGTCGAAGCCAACCGGTTTAACTGGTACGCAGATCTCGGACTTAGCCAAGTAAGGCTTGCCAGAATGATGTAAGGGGCTCAAGATAAAAATTTAAAAATTCTCCACCTTAGGCGAAATGTAGTCACTTAGACTCCGTTTGCGATGAATCATCCATGATTTAGTCAATAAGGAGGGCAAATCAAGAAAAAAGCACTACATTCACTGCTAAGTGAAGTATAGCCACTTAGTCCCCAAGCCTGCTGGAAGATGAAGAATGAATCTTGTAGCAGAGTCAATGAAAATAAATCTAAAAGCTTGTTGACATCATCTAACATGTGCGTATCAAGACCCGGACCTACTGCCCAAGATCAGCACCCTGATCCGAACAGCATGGAGCAAGCTGATAGCACACCGATGAGACATAGGAAGATCCCACCGCCAAGAGAGTCCCCAGCTTAGCTGGCAACTCTTGCATGAAGAATCCGAACGTTGAGTCCCCAGTTTAGCTAGCGATGAAGCGACGAACAATCCAAACATCGAGGAGTCCCCAGCTTAGCTGGTGAGCCCCCAGCGTAGCGGACGATGAAGCGACGAACAATCCGAATACCGAGGAGTCCCCAGCTTAGCTAGCGAGCCCCCAGCGTAGCTGATGATGAAGTGACGGACAATCTGACCAGTTGTTTGGTGAAGAATCGAGCACCGAGCAACCCAACCAACTGGTCGGCAACAAAGTGAGCGCCAAGTAGAAGTGAGCGCCGAACAGTTCGACCAGCTGGTTGGCGACGAAGGTCATGAACCTAGCGGTCCGACCAGTGGATCGGTGGAGAAAACAACGGCGGAGCTTGCCGAAGACATCGACCTTAGGTGAAGTGTGTACACTTAGGCTTCGTTGGCGAAGTTAGATGATCATCATCCATGACTTAGTCAAAGAGGATGTTAGTATTGATACATGCGCCGCAAGGTGCAATGTATACATTATAGTCCCCGAGCCTGACAGTAGGTGAAGAATGCACCTGGTGTTAGGATCAAAGAAGTACAACGATCAGTTAATCAGAATAACTGAGTCCCAGCTTAGCCGAGCACGCAGCCAGCCCCCAGCTTAGCTAAAGATCAGGAAGACCAGTAATAGGAAAAATATTACACTCACTGCTAGGTGAAGTGTACATACTTAGTCCCCGAGCCTGCTGTAAGATAGAGCAGCATATTGTAGCAGGATCAAAGAAACAAGTGAAAAAGACGAAATCCCCGTGCTTAGCACTGGACATTGGAGTAAAATTTAGAGTGTTGATCACTTTAAAATGGAGAAAAAATAGCGAGTGCTTAACACTTTACCTTTGGAGAAAATTGGAGAGTGCTTAGCACTTAAACCGTAGAGAAAATGAAGATGTGCTTAGCACTATACCGTGGAGAAAATAGAGAGTGCTTAGCACTATACCCTTGAGAAAATGGAAAGTTCTTAGTACTATACCATGGAGAAATTGGAGAGTGCTTAGCACTATATCAGGGCAAAATTAGAGAGTGCTTAGCACTATGCCGTGGAGAACATAGGAGAGTGCTTAGCACTATACCATGGCGAACATGGAGAGTGCTTAGCACTATACCGTGGCGAAAATGGAGAGTGCTTAGCACTATACCGTGAGGAGATTGGAGAACATGGAGAGTGCTTAGCACTATACCGACGAGATGTGTGGGGCATTCTATCCCAAGATTCTTGTGCACGCTTAGGAATATGGGCATCACCGAGGAGCCACCGTCGCCCACTCATGACGCAAGGCGCTACTGCTCGTGCATGTTTAGGTGCTAAGTCGAGGACAGGGCTGCTTCTGGATAACGCAGATGAAAACATGACTGGTCGGCGGCGATGAAATTGCCCAGCCCCTGAGCTTTTCTAGCATGTGGTCATGACGGCGGTCGCTGTTGTCACAACGCTGTTCTTCGCGGCGGTCATCATCGCGGCGTGGCGCGGCTTGCTTACGACTCAGGCGGCTCGCTTAGCAGCTCGGGCGGTGGCTCAACGGCTCGACGGCTCGAGCGGCTCGGCGACTCAGCAGCTCGAGCAGCTACATGGAGTCATAGGCAAATGGGCGTATTCGGAGCCTGACGGAGTGAATTCGCGTGGGGAGGCAAAGCCCTTGAGCGTGTCCGACTGAGGCGAGGGCGTAGTCTAATTTGAATGGCGATAGTATGCGTCATCTTAAAGATGTTTAGCATGGAGAAAAGTCATTTGGAGAACAATCATGTAGAGAATAGCATGAAGAAATATCATGGCAAAAACTTTATTAAATATTCATATATAAAAAAGTACTTATTTTTATACATAACGTCTGATCGGTGGCGTATGATGTTATCTGGTCGGCGTCGACGAAATTACCCGGCCCTCGAGCTTTCTGGCCTGTCGTCATGGCGGCGGTCGCGGTCATTATAACACCGTTCTTCGCGGCGATCATTGCGACATGGTAGGCGATCAAAACAAGTAGTCCGGTCGGCTCGCTTAGCGGCTCACTTGACGGCTCAGACGGTTCGTCTATCAACTCGGATGAGTACATGGAGTCATAGGCGAACAGACATAATTGGAGCCTGACACAGTCAATCCGCGTGGGGAGGCGAAGTCCTTGAGCTTGTTCGACTGAGGCGAGGGCGCAGTCCAAGATCTTCCTTGCAAGCCTGAGATACGTGAGGTTGCCTGCATGGTGGTGT